TGACACAGTTAAAATAGCTGAACAGGAAAGATGATGTCATCCCGCCTACTGAGGCTTTCTAGGACTGGAAACGCCGACCACTGACTTACTGACACCCAGGAAGGATAGCTCAGAGTATCTGGGCCTCCTGACCCGGTTCTTCTGGGTCCTGACTGGTTCTGCTGGGTCCTGACTGGTTCTTCTGGGTCCTGACTGGTTCTGCTGGGTCCTGACTGGTTCTTCTGGGTCCTGACTGGTTCTGCCGGGAGGCCCAGACTGGTTTTCTTCCTGTTTGGGCTGAAAGCAGCTGGATGCTTCCAGCTCTGCTGGTTAAACTCTGACAGAAACCATCAACATCTGAGCCTCTGATCGAGTTTCTGGCTTTTTCCTCCAAAATCAGCTCTAATTTTCCCCAAAAAGATCATTGAAAGTCCTCTCACTTTATTCCAGAGCTGAAAAAAAAAGGTTTTCAGTCTCTTCTGAAGTCTATTTTCAGGCAAAATAGATGTTCCAGCTCTTTCTAATGAGCTTTTTCTGCATCAAACATCAACATCTGGGCCTCTATCAAACTAGATAAAAAAAATCCTCCTGAAAACAGGAGTTTATTTGACTAAAATGATGGAAATATGTCAGATTTTCTTAAAGAAACTGATGTTTAAATCAGAGAATTTCTGATCCAGTTTGGTTTCCTTCAGTCAGTTCTTTGATCCCTTCATTCATTTTTTGGGGTTTCATCATTTTATTAAAGAAAAACTGACACATTTCCATCATTTTAGTCAGATAAACTGAGGATTTTTCACCAAACTGACCACAGAGACCCTTTAACCTCATTTAGTTCTTCTTGAGTCCACCTTGTGTCCGACACAGTTACAGATGTTTCACTTCTGTCTGTAACATCTGCTGGAACAGAGCTGATTTAGTGGAAAACCAGAGCTGGTTCCTGAGGGAAAAAGCAGAAATTCAAAATCTAAATTTGAAGTATTTCGATTTATTTGTATTTACTTTAAGAATTTATCTGATTTCCAAATGAATTGCTGCATTTTCTCAGCTTTTTTTGTGGAAAAGTCTTTTATTTTTCATCCTTTTTGAGAAAAAAATTAGCTCATATTTAAAATGTAAATGTATCAAATGATCCACAGCTCTGAGTTCAGCTTTTAGTCTACAGGTTTCAGTTCATCAGCTCAAAGTTTTTTTCATTTCTGGATGCTGGATCAGAGCTAATTTCCAGGAAATTAAGCCTCTTTCTGGAGGAAAAGCAGCAGAACTCTGAGTTCTCTGGACTCTAGTTTGATCAGAGCCTCAGATGTTGGTGTTTGATCCAGAAAAAGCTCATCAAATGGAGCTATTTGTGACCTTTTATGCAGCTATATGAAAGAGTCAGGACTGTAAATCTGCAGTTTCTGTAGGAATGTTTGATTTCCAGGTAAAATTTCAGATATTAGATCCTCTTATTATGATAAACTCCTCAATTTCCATCATTTAGTGTCAAATTGGCTCATGTTTATGTTCATAAACTGAATCTGAACTGTTTAAATCAGAGAATTTCTGATCCAGTTTGGTTTCTTTCAGTCAGTTCTTTGATCCCTTCATTTATTTCAGGGGGCTTTCGTCAGTTTCTCAAAGAAAAACTGACACAATTCCAGCATTTTAGTCAAATAAACTGCTGTTTTCAGGGGGATTTTTCATTCTGGTTTGATCAGAGGCTCAGATGTTGGTGGTTTCTGTCAGAGTTTAACCAGCAGAGCAGGAACTAACCACTCAGGACCCAGCAGAACCGGGTCAGGACCCAGCAGAACCAGTCAGGACCCGGCAGAACCGGGTCAGGAGGCCCAGAGACTCTGAGCTATCCTTCCTGGGTGTCAGTAAGTCAGTGGTCGGCGTTTCCAGTCCTAGAAAGCCTCAGTAGGCGGGATGACATCATCTTTCCTGTTCAGCTATTTTAACTGTGTCA